AGTAATAGGTAGTGTCCTCGTACACAACTACTCTTACTTTTACGTTTACCCCTTCCCTTCCTCCTACTCCGACGGCGTCCTAACTTACTAGTTAGTACTTTATTACTACTTCTCTCTCTCTCTCTCTCTCTCTCTCTCTCTCGCTCTCTCTCTCTCTCTCTCCAAGTTCTTGTAATGCACATTGCCCATGCACAGCAGAGACTGCTAGCTGGTGCAGAAAAGAGGAAATTGGAATTCAATTCCCAACAACAAGAATGGAAGCTTCCACAATGCTAGCTGAGATGATTGCTCTTGCTGAAGTTAGTGGAACATGTCCTTTTAAAGATATTTTTACCTAGATTGTAGTCTGGTAGGTTATATGTGCTTCTTACACCTATTGGGTGTCCATGCCACATTACCCAAAGAAGACACTCTAGGTGGATATCTTGTGTCTTCTCGAATAATAACAGGAAGGGCCTCAGGCATGTGGGTTATATAGCTGTAACCCTCAAAACAGATCTCCTGGTTGGTGTGTTTAAGGCTTACTTTGAAATGAGAGAACTAGAAGGTGTCTTATATGTAATTGAGATGTACCCAAAGGCGCGCTCTATCCCCATGGCTCAGGCCACTTATGAGCACTTCCCAAAGAAATCCTTTTGGGAAAAGGCGGGCACCATCCTGTTAGTTGTTTCAAGCTGTTTAACAGTTCCTAGTATTCATCTTTGTTCTTCTGAAGGATTGAAAAATGGAATATGATCTATGTGGCCATAGCCATAACCTCTGCCAATGGGCTTATCACCATCCAATCAATTGGTTGGATGTTGGAGAGAAACTAAGGCTGTAAAGTTAATTGAAATTGTATGTTGGGACCCACTTCCTCCACCACTGTCCAACCCATTGATGGAACAGTGATAACCATGAGATCATGATGTTTGTGGATTATACTAGAAGGGCTCTTGAAGGATTTCATCTATGATGGTGCATGAGGTCGTCCATTTCGACTGTAGCACGCACCACTACTTAGGTATAATAATCAACATGCTAAGGTAAATGACGGTGCATTGAATGCATTAGCCTTTTTAATATGGTTATTTTCTTTGGAAGAAGTGGTACTGCAGTTGGCAGATGGACGTTAGGGATAAACAAGACATACTTTCTTCAATGAAGACACCTAACCTAATTTTATGATAATGAGACTTCCTGCTGTGCAGATCAGCAAATATAGCCTTGTAGATTTATATATCTGAAACTGTAGATAATGGCCTGCATTTTACAAATACTTATGCACTAGTTTCATAAGAAACAATATTACTTTTTGGGACAGCATAACTAGCATCACTTTATAGTTCTCATACTCTCATAAGAATGATGCTCCTTCGGGCTCTTTCTAGAATGTCAGTAAATTTGCTTTGCAAATCCAATGCCATGCCAAAATCACTAATCATAGTTTTGTTTTAGGTGGTATGTATCAACTTTAGTTAAAGTTAATTGTGGGTAATTTGTAGCTTTGTATATAATACTGCTCTGTTTATTTGGAATTTACATTGCAATGAGTTTTATATCTACCGATACTGATAAGTTCATCATCCTTTGATTGTGAAAAACCTACTTATGGTAAGGCTGCTTTTTCCTAAAACAAACACCTTGTTATCTCGAGTGGAATCCTGCTCACATATTATTAAGCTTCCTGCTTGTTACATTTATGTTTCTATGTTTAATTACAGCTCTGATGACTTTTACAACCTAGTTTTACTAATCAATTAGTTTTGGTTATGCCAGATTGCATACTATAATGCACTACTTTATGGACTCAAGAGGGTCTTATTTGGAGGATTTTTCATCCGTGGTCATGCATTTACCATGGAAACCATCTCTGTTGGTGTTCATTCCTGGTAAGTGATGAATAGCTTCTAACTCCTTGGGTAACATTTAGGGGATACCTCTGTTATTTATGGATGCAGAATATCGGAATATAATGCATTATATAATTTGGTTGGCCTCAGAATTTATTTATCGAGATAGTTTTTGCAGAGAGAAGGAGACAAGTGGTTATATGGCTTTTTAGTCTCTATTTGATTCTTTGTGTGAGTTCCATATGATTCGAGTTCATGCACCTATATTTTCTTCAGGTCAAAGGGTCAGGCTCAAGCCTTGTTTTTGCGACATGAAGGCTATTTAGGTGCTTTGGGTGCTCTCCTAAGTTATGATAAGCCTGATATTGAAGATTTAATGACTCATACCTTTGTTGAACAATTTCCAAATGATGCTCAGTATGTTGGGGGATTTCAACCACAACAGGGTGGAATTAAGGAGGTAAGTGAAGAAATTGGCATAGTATGTACTGTAGAGTTATTCCACTCACAGCATTGTACGTTGAAACCTTCTGTCTGTTATTATATAAGGTCTGATTGGATTTCTCTGATCTGATTAATGGAGCCAGCAATTCATAAAAAATTTAAATTAGTATTCTCCTTAATCCTATTTGCTGCAAAGATATGCCAGTGTTTGATTGACGTCTTTCTTCAGTATTATTAACAGTTCCATTGTGCAGTTTCACTGTTATGAACACTTCCATCGTACACTTCACTAGCATTTTGCTATCATGAAGAATGATTTTCCATAATTTGCGGTTTTCATGCGTGCAGAAGGTTGGGCAAAAGGACAATCAAATTATTCCTCCCATCCCACTGACGATGACAGGCATCACACGCTTTGAACAACCTCATTCTAACAGTGACATGAATGCTGCTCTAAACATTGGTGTGCTTCATCTTGTAACTTCACGTGAGGTGGCACCATTATTGGAGGATCATTAGAAGTATGAAGATTCCCCTTTTGACCTTTTTCATTTGAGTATGAAATCTAAAAATATTCATTACTTTCTTTACATGTAATTTGTGAAGTCTCAAATATCTGTATTTGTGGATTAATGTTGGATACCATTCCTCGACTTACAAAAGAAATGGATTTCGTTGTTTCTCTTAGCACAAGTATTGATGCTAGAGGTTTCTCCGTGACATATATTTAGTTCTATGCATAGTTTTGTATAGGATCTACTTTAGCGTTATTTACTTGTAAGAAAAAACTGCAAACATTGGTTATCCAAAACGCAAAATTGCTTGATTATAGAGATCTCACTTACCCATTCTTTGACAATTTTTCCTGTTGCAGGTTCAAGGAATCTGCTTCCGATTTACCAGGGGCCTGATTTACACGCTTGTGGGCTGAAGGTGAAAAGAACCATTGCTGAAGATCACATGCCTTGCATATAGTCCAACTAACCCATTGATAATTATTGTATTTTGGTATTATTTTTTTCATCCATGTAGTTGTAATTTAATAAATTGGATGCTATGATGTGTTAATGTAAAGCAATGCAGAGAAGGATACCTTATTTGAGCAATTATTCATATTTGAACTTAATCAAGTGTTATTATTTATTGTAGAAATTCCATTACTAAATTGAGTAGTAAGTGACGGGAATAGATGAATTGGAGGCTGCAGAGAGAGAGAGAGAGAGAGAGAGAGAGAGAGAGAGAGAGATCATAGAAGAATGCAGACAGCTACGCGTAGAGGAAGGGACTATTACAAGAACGACCAAGTAAAGTAAGGTAAAGGTACGTAAACTAACTAAAACTTAAAGTTTTTACGTAACTTACCGTTTA